GATTATTTAACACACTTATTTTTTTTAATCCATTTTCAAATGATTTCAAATTTCTTAAATATTAATTAAAATAAATCAAATTATATCAGCCACCCTGCTTCCCAAGATGTCTGCATCGGCTGTCAAAAAAACCATATCGGTCGTCCACTAGTCATATGACCCCTTTAAGCTTGTGTGCATGTATGAGTATCTATGCGAGTGTGTATGTTTGTGTGTTTGAGTGTGTGTGTTGTGGAATGGTTTAATAATTAGTGTGTGTGTGTGTGTGTGTGTGTGTGTGTTGTACAGGAGTAAAGCTGTGTGACGTCTATAACACAGTCCTGGATTTCGTCAAGAAAGAGAAACGTGCGTGCGCTGCAGGTTCGCTATGGGCATTGAGTTCAGAGAAGGATCGCTCGTACTGAACGCCAAAAATCAGTTCAAACTCAAGAGAGGTGAGTGTGTGCATGTAAATCAGGGCCTGTTGTACAGCATTTATCATCATTGCATCAAGATACTAGCAACACTGTGTTCCTGTGTTTAAACGGTTTACCTTAAAGGTCCCATGACATGCTGCTTTTTGGATGCTAGCCACTGGGGGACCATAGGCAGGCTAGGGGAACTCATATTAATGTTAAAAAACCTCATAAAGTGAAATTTTCATGCCATGGGACCTTTAAAATGAAGATTCATGATACTGTTTGAAAAGTGTATTGTGTGTAAAGTCTGCGTTGTACACGTTGTTGTGTGCATCTACAGTGTTGGGAAAAATGTCATTGCAAATATTATCATGATTGCTTTTAATGTGTGTGTATATAATATAAACTCACTCTGAAACATGCAACACTTCTGTCTAATTCAGTTGCTGCTCTTTTAATAATTGCGCTGTTGTGTTTGTGCAGGGATGGTGTTCAGCATCAGTCTGGGATTGGCTGACATGATCAACCAAGAGGCCAAGAAAGACGAGCAGAAAAAATACGCCCTGTTCATCGGAGACAGCATTCAGATCAATGAGGTGCGTTATGCTCCATGCTTCACGGGCTGGAAACTCTCTCTCTGTGAAGCGCTCTTCAGTAATCCTCTGCTCGTGTTTATGATCGCAGGAGGATCAAGCCACCGTCCTCACACCCGTCAAGAAGAAGATCAAAAACGTTGGCATTTTCCTCAAGGTAACGACCGTCTGTCTGGAGCGTGCTCATTTCAGTTTGAGTGGACTCACTGGTCCAAATCTCGCGCACTGTACATGTACAACACACAACCTGTTGAGTGTGATTATTAGCTGTTTCAATCCATATATTTGTTTAATGAAAATTTTGGGATTTTGCATTTAAAAACGCTGGATTAAAATGCAAAGATGTGTGTAATGTGCTTAAATTAATGTGCATAAAACGTGCTCAATTAAAGCAGGTACTTTTTTTCCTCAATGTTTATTTGTTGATTATAGTTAAGTATTAAA